GCGGCCGGCGATGGCACTACGTGACCGGACCGCGACATATGGCCCAATAAGCACGTCTGGTTCTCAAGTTGCTTCCGGGGCATCGCGTACAGCGAAGTGCGGAGGTAGACTGGCACATGTGGCGGCGCGTGTCGGCCGTGTGCCGGCAATATTCAGTCGTTGCATGGGTGGCACTTGTCGGGAACTGCGACATTCAAGCCGTGTTGGTCTGGGGCGGCGACCAGGTCCAATGGAAGACCGGAGCCGTCCAATACAATACAGGTTATGTTTCCAAAACGTGTTTTGGCGCTGCAGTCGAGGCGGCCAAGCCGTGATTGTCTTTGCCAGCCATGCCGTGGCGGCGCTAGGGAAGCCCGAGGCGTCAGTCAGCGTGGGTTCGGTAACCGGCAATTGGATACCAATGCCCGTGGCGCTGCATGGTTCGAGTGCATCAGTGGCGATCCTGTCAAGTGAAGTCGAACAGACGCCTCAGGCGCGTGGAGATCTGGGGAGGAGCAGCCGATGACGACGTTGTAGCGTTGCGATTATGCTCGAGAGGGTTGGGAAGTTGCATCACCAAGGGGGGAATGCAACAGCCTTGGGACGGTTGCTGTGCCAAAGGGTGCTCCGGTGCGGGCGCATTCCAACTCCTAAGGTGCAGAGACGACGGCAGATGGAGGAGGAGCAAGCAGGGAGTTGATGGCACTGGGAATCTGGGATGACTGGATTCTGCATGTGGATCTCATGCGGAAGGAGCCAGCTTGGCCCTTGCCCTTCTTGGACCAGAGCAGTTGGCGCCAGCTGGTTCTCACTTCAACGTTCCTGCCGAGATGGTCAGGCAGCAACGGAACCGAAACTGCTGGAGAGTGGAACTTGAAGCATCATGAGGTCCAATGCTCAAGCGGCCAAGATGTACGAAGCAAAACTGCGAAAACGACCCGGCGACGTGCGCATCTGCAGACCGTGTGCATCTACCGGCATTGGCGCGGACTCTGTGGAGCATGGCGATGATGGCGCCCGCCGCCGACTGACAGACCCCTGCCTTGCCTTGGTCTACCCCGGATTGCCAAACAAGCATCGAGGGAAACTATTCCATTGCGTCTTCTTTTACTGACAGACAACCAATTCACAGACAAGGCGAATAATGCGTGAATCGACCGGATTCGGCCTTTATGGCCCCTGCCGTCCCAAACGCCGAATGATTGAATGCGCCGGACATATTGACATGTCCAGTAGAGCTGGGCCGCTTGCACTTTCAACATGTTTTGCGCCAGTGCCTGCCTCGAGTGCGAATTGACTTTGGCGCCAGACTCTTCGTCTCTCCTCCAACCTGGCAACGGCATGACGACCTCATCCTGATACAACCTCTCGGCCTCTTTTTGCGCCACCGAAACCCAAGTCTCTCTCAGTGCTCTCATTCGCGTTCCCTAGACCATCATCTTTAATTCTACTCGGTACACGGCTAAAGACCCATTCTTCGGCCCTTCTTGGACGCCAATGCTTGCCTTGACCGCCACACATTGTCTCAACTAGCATCTGCCGACTGCAGCAACCATCCGGCCCATCGACCGTTGAGCACTTTTTACTTTGTCACCATGGGAAAACCAGAGAGGGTGTAAGTGCAGCCACCATCTCCTTGTAGACTATTGCCGATATCCAAACCTCGTCCATCTATCGTGCACATGCCACACACCACTTAGATGAACCATGTATCCACACTCATCTGGCCCCAAGTTTCGCCTCCAAGAGCTTGGGAGCGCCCATTGCCACCACTGACGCGCTCTTGGGCGAAAGCTAGCATTTCCTGTTTTGACATGGATGGTAATCTACGCTTTTCTGCTCAGCTCCACCGCGCTGTCTTGGGCTTGCTTTTCTACGTAGCTTCAAGGCTTATAAGTCTGCATCACCTCCCACATATCCTCCTTTGCCGTGTCCCCCTCCGTGTCATCAGCACTTGAGCATCTTCCTTACTGACAAATTCACGTACTTCAGTATCCGGGGGAGAGCAATTATGAGTGTTCTGCGAAGAGTTTCCCTCACCAAGCCTCCCGGCGAGGCAGGCAAGTCGTGGCCCGGCATCGCCATTGGCTTTTTCGTCGCCTTTGGTGGCGTGCTGTTTGGCTATGATACTGGAACGATTTCGGGTATCCTGGCCATGCCATACTGGCAGACCGAGTTCAGCACTGGATACATCAACCCCAAGGGGCATCTTGACGTGACGACCAACCAGGAGTCCGCCATTGTCTCTATTCTCTCCGCCGGCACCTTCTTTGGTGCCCTGGCCTCGCCCTTCTTGGGTGACTACATAGGCCGTCGGCTAGCTCTTATTATTTCCACCTGGGTCTTCAATCTTGGAGTCGCTTTACAGACCGCCTCGACTGCCATTCCGCTGTTCCTGGCCGGCCGGTTCTTCGCTGGCCTGGGCGTCGGCTTGATATCTGCCCTGGTCCCTCTGTACCAGTCCGAGACGGCACCCAAGTGGATTCGAGGCGCTATTGTTGGCGCCTACCAGTTCGCAATCACCATTGGTTTGCTCCTCGCCGCCATCGTCAACAATGCTACATCCAACCGAAACGACCCGGGAAGTTACCGGATTCCAATTGCGGTGCAATTTGCCTGGTCTTTTGTTCTCTTTGGGGGAATGCTTATTCTTCCCGAGACGCCTCGCTACTTGGTTCGATCCGGGAAGCATGAAAAGGCCGCCAAAGCCCTGGGAAGGCTCCGCCGACTTCCACCGGACCACCCTGCCGTGCGCTCGGAGCTGGACGAAGTCAAGGCTCACCACGACTATGAGATGAGCCTCGGGGCTGCCACATACCTCGACTGTTTCCGTCGTTTCAATATCAAGAAGCAATTTACAGGCATGGCCCTGCAGGCGCTTCAGCAGCTCACCGGAATCAACTTCATCTTCTACTACGGCACCAAATATTTTCAGAATTCCGGCGTGTCGTCTGGGTTTGTCATTCAAATGATCACGTCGTCCATCAATGTGGTTTCTACCATACCTGGGATGTACGCCATTGACAAATGGGGACGGCGTCCGTTGCTCTTCTTTGGCGCCATTGGCATGTGTATATCGCAATTCATTGTCGCAATGACGGGTACATTGTCCTCGGGCCAACACCCCAATGGCGACATTTACGTCACAAACTTGGCGGGCCAAAAGGCTGCCGTCGCCTTCTCCTGCATCTACATCTTCTTCTTTGCCTCGACCTGGGGACCACTGGCTTGGGTGGTAACTGGCGAGATCTTCCCGCTTAAGCTTCGTGCCAAGTCTCTCAGCCTTACTACCGCCACAAACTGGCTCTTCAACTGGGCCATTGCGTACTCGACCCCCTATCTTGTCAACTATGGCCCCGGCTTTGCGAATCTGCAGTCCAAGATTTTCTTTATTTGGTTTGGTTGCTGCTTCATCTGCATTGCTTTCGTCTACTTCTTCATCTACGAAACCAAGGGCCTCACCCTGGAGGAGATCGACCTGCTCTACACCGAGGTCAAGTCTGCGAGGAAGTCAACAAAGTGGAGACCCAACGACACATGGGTGCATCGACAGAGTGTGGCCAAGCAAGGCAGCGTCGCCGGAGATGGGCCCACGACTGTGGCCGATGCCGATGGCATCCCTGACACCTCACACTTGGAAAAGAATGGAAACACGGCATAAAGTCGACTGGTGAAGGATATGCTTTTTGGGGTGGGTATATGTATATAGTACGTTTTCATTATATAAGTTACTAGGTAGTTTACATGGGAGTATCCAATTGAGCTGTTTTAATCCAAGTTCCACCCCATGATGATGACGAATTGACTCGCGGTGGTGTGATGCATATTGCCCCAGCTGCCAATCAACAAGAGTCTCAGCTCTTTGAATTTGTACACAAAGTCAAAAAACGACCATGCTCGAAATGTCACCAAGTGGACGTGGTCAGGCACCGGCAGCCATGGGCATACTCGACTGCCCAACCTCAAGGCGCGCCCAGCCTCACACCACAATGACAATCTCGCCCGCAATCTGCAGAAACGGCGCATGCTTGTCCTGCGTCTGCTCGTCAGTCCCCGGCTCTCTCTCGCCACGCCGCCACCAACCGGGTCGGAACAAGGTGACTCACCCCCCTCAGCACAAAGTGCGTAGCGACCAGCTCGGCGTACCCCACGGGGAAGGAGTCGGGGACGGTGATGTTGAATGTCTGCTCGGGCGGCTGGCCGACGGGCTGGAAGGGGCCGACCGACAGGATGGTGCCCAGGTCCTCGCCGGCGTTGGGGCACGAGCCGTCCGGGCAGGGGAGGATGCTGAGCACCACCGAGACTTCCTGCACGGTGCCGTTGTTCTGTGCCGTGTTAGTCAAGTGCTGTCAATTCGTTTCGGGAGGACCAGACCAGACCTCTGTCTGGACCGTCATGGCGGTAGGGGTGTTGCGGTGGACGACGGTGCCTGGTCGTGGGGACTTGATGGATAGTTGCTGCGCGGATGCGATATGGAGGCCCGCGAGGGCGAGGAGGGGGGCGAGCAGCTTCATGTCCGGACTGGTCGGTAGGATGTGGTGTTTTGGAGATTGGCTGATGGGGGGGATGTGACGGACGTCTTTTTGTCCATAGGATGTGAGTGCTACTTATATGGATCGTGTGCGGCGCGAATTGTACACACACGACACGACACGGCCGACGACGGACCGGTCGCATATACATATGTAGTATTATGTACGCTCGGGTCTCGAATTGGGACCCCGCTGGTGTGTCAGGTCGGATATGTCGGGAAATTGCAATGTGCTTGGACGATTTGGGCGGCCGGCGGGGAATGGGACGGGTTGGTGTCGTTGGCTTCTTTGTTTGCTCTGCCCGTCTTATTGTCGCCTTGGCTCGTAACTGCATGTTGGTGGGACCATGGATCTGGCCGTGGGCGCATCCGTGGGGTCGCAATCATGGATGCTTCCATGTTTGTATGCATGTCTTGGGCGGAGTGGTGCTCACCGGCGAGCTGGGTGCATTGCGCATTGCGCTTGGGACGCGTCGTCTTCTTTTTTGGATCAAAGTGCCGCAAACGGGCAACGCGAATTGATGCGTATGTGCACGCATGACTTGTTACTAGCTGTTGGGCAGACGAGTTGGCCTGTTCTGCTGGGCTTGTCGTCTGAGATGTCATGTCCGCCGTCTAAAGACTCCATGCTCATCGCCTCTGTACTCGGTTTAATTTCCTCGCCTTGCTTGTCCGGTTTCGGCTCGTCTTTGTCGCGAGGCTCGTCGGCCCTGCTGCCCGCATCGTCGTCTTCCACCTTCATCTGCCAGAGTTGGAGCCGTGCCAACGCGCCAAGATGACAGAGGCATACATGGCGTACGGCAAAGTCGCCAGGAACGGGGGACGGCAGCGTTGGGCGGGAAAATGTCGCAGCCGGGACAAACGTCTCAAACGCACAGCGCCACGGGGCCAAGAGTCCCTCTCGACCAACATCAAGGCCATCAAAGACAGCAACATCACCAGCGTCCCGCGCCCGGGAACATGGCAGAAGGTGCAAAGCGCCAGAACCGCTACCCTCCTCACGTTGAACACCACCATGTCCTTTCCCGAAGGGCTTGCGAACGCCTGCGCGAGATATGTGGTCGTGGTCGCAGAGAAACCTGCTCGCGCTCATTGTGTGTTCCAGGCGCCGCTTCCAAAATGGATGCAGCTCTCCGTGCTCGTCCCACGGCTCGCTGGCGCAAAAGCTCGTCCGTCGCTCCATGACTTGTCTCGCAAACCCGAGGTCAATGGCAAAAGTACTAGCCGTGCTCAACCTGACATGCCTTGCAGGTGAACTCGTGCTGGAAATGCCCTAGTTCCTTCAGGATCAGCTGTTCGGCCGTTTTGACGTGGGCCATTTTTCGGAGCCCGGGCTCTTTGACGCTGAGTTGTGTTGGCTTGCGAGTGCTCTGGATATCGTTGAGGCGGTCGTAGGTTGCCTTCTTGGTGAGGCCGATTTTGATGAGGGATTTGCCGTCAACCTCGGCTTCCAGCATGTAGTTGTTGCCCGTGGCCTTCTTCCTGGGGGGCGTGAGAATTCTCTTTTCTAGTTGTGTGTTGATATACAGGCAAGTGTCCTCCGCAATCTCCTCGGGTGTCTTCGGACTGGATGATCTGGAAGAAGATGAGGCTGCTCGTGGGCGCGGCAGTGTTTTGCTTTGGTCGCTTTTGGACCGACAGTGTGCGCGGTACTGGCGCTGTCGTAGGACATCGCTCTCTGGGTCTTGAATCAACGTTGGCGATCTCGTCACGGCTTTCATGGTTTTCATCCGGCTTCTTGTTGTCTCTCTTCAGCCTCACTCAAGCCATGTCTCCTCCTGTTGCCTCATGCGTGCTCACAAGATTATAGTTGCAAAAAGACACAAGTTGAGGCCTCTGATAAGGACCCAGGCTGTTCGGAGTAGAAGGCGCCTCAACTCCTGCGCTTTTCGCGAGCATCCAGGCAGATGAGAGCTGGATTTCACGCAAAGAGTCCAGTCGGAAGGAATTGAACTGACGACAGGACCCCTTAGTCCGTAATTTGAGAGCATCTCGGCGGTTGCACAATGGCTTCCCCGGGCTCCTTTTTTTGGCAGCACGCTTATTCGTGTGACCAACAAACCAGCCAGCCAATGGGATACACACAAAATCCGTACGAGGCTTCCTTCGGTTGCGGACTCTGCCGTCTTTGCAGGGGAATGGTTACATCAAACGGGTCCGAGAGTGACGCGTGAGTTCTTTTGGAAGTACACTTCCGTAACCAGCCACCGAGCTAAAGTAATTGCGGTTTTATTACCTCGGGGCTTAGAATGAAGGATTGTCGTTTTTATACCTGGTATATCAGAGGGAACCCAAGATCGATTGTTGCCAAGCTTTTTGGCCGCGATTCGTTGTTTGTGATGCACATAACCTGAAGGCTAGATGTCGTTGAACAGCTCAGCCACAGAATTCGCGATTCCCGCAGGATCGGAAATAACCTGGAGGGCCAGGCAGTTTTTACTTGCACAAGGTGGGCGGGATCTCAGCCGCACCCGTTGGTGTGACCAGTCTGCCCATCGCGTGATGCGAGCCATATGCAAGTAGGAAGTTGCCTGATATCAGGTTGGCGTAACATCGATGACGCCTCAGACTCACGAAGCAACCCCCATTCGCCCTTCTACGTGCGTAAAAGAATGAGGCCGCCTTCAGCAGGAATCCGAGTAGAAGAAATATGCTGTCGACAGTCGAAACAGATTGAGGCCCAGGTGAGTGTCATGGTACGACTTGTACGTCAGGTCCGTCCGTGATTGGTGCACAGCTAGGGCGTGCTTCGCATGGTTCTACTGAATCTAAAGACAGAATATTCGGCGGCAACTTGGACGCCGAGTCCTTGGCATACCAGTCGATTAATGTGCTCTCTTCCTTCTCCTGCATCTTCCTCTCCACGAAAGCTTCCATGGCGGCGACCTGTTCTGGCGACAGCAGCTTGAGCCTTTCCATGAAGCCGGCGGGATTGTCCCCAAAGAAGCGCCTATCCAGCGTCCTCCAAAAGATGCCATCAAATGCCCAGGACTTGCGCGCCGCGTACACGAGCCAAAAGTCCCCCGTCTCCCAACTGCGGCGCATGTGCGTAGACAGCACCTGGGGCTGACGGAGGCGGCCCTGCTCCATCAACTCACGCTCCTTTGCTTCCATGACTCGCAGGAAGTTGTTCAGCCGGGGTTCGTACTTGGCAGCCCAGTCGTCCAGCCCCTCGGTCCACTCCTCGGGCATGACGAGAAGAAGCCACCATGGCGGGGAGTAGGCGAATTCAACGGGGGCGGCATAGGTAAACTCCCAGTCTATGACACCGACGATGCGATACTCGTCGTCAATCAGAATGTTGCCAGGGCGAAAGTCGTCGCACCACAGCTTGAAAGGGCCCGGGTCTGTGTCCGGCGAGGCAACGCCATGTTTGGCGGCCACTTTGCGGAAGAGTTGCCTCGACAAGACGTTAGTGATGGCTTGATGGGAACTGGGCTGAAAGACTTACCTGGCGATGTATTTCTTGCGACACTCATCGTCTGACAGGACGACCTGGTTTCGCTGGAACGAGAGTTGCTGAAGATGCATATCGGCCAGAGCAGAGTAGTATTGGGACGAGGTGGAAAATGTCTTGGAGGTAGGGGGCAGTTCGAAGTGAGGGACGCCTCCTACCTCCCCCAGCTGGGTCATGTTGAGGGACAGAGGCCGAGAGGTGATTTCTGGGTCGCCATCATCGCCATTCGAGTTGCTCATTCCAAGGCATCCGATGCGGGAGAAGTCGCATTTGGCCAGTTGGAGCATGATGTCAGCAATTTGGCCATACACATGGTCGAGTTTCGCTTCGTCCATGGCTGGATCGAGGACTGGCTTGTCTTCATGGGGGTGTCCGGGCGCCCTCAGCACATCAGCCATGTCGCCGCAATTTTCAATGTACTCCATGATTAGAAAAGGACCAAGCCTTCTGGGGCTCTCGTCTGCCATGCCGTAGTGCAGGATGGAGGGCACAGGTATGGTCGTATTATCGGCTATGTAACGCATGGCAGCCACCTCGCCGAGGAGCTTCTCCTCAGCCATCCGAAAGTACCCCGGCATGGGGAAGCGAATGATGGCGGAGCTCCCATCGCAGTACAGGATGCGATAATGGAAATTGAACCCTCCAATCTTGGGGGGGAAACACTTGACGGGGCTACCACCTTTTCGATGTTTAGTGACAAACGTGGCAATCTCGTGGTAAAGATCTTCATCGTACAGCGTATCCCGCAAAGCCTGGAATATAGCCTCGCCACGGTCCCACGCGCCATCATCGTAAAGCTCATAGGAGACCATCCTCTCGGCAAAGTTGGGGATGGAGGACTTGGAAACTGTGAGACATCAATCTATGAACAAGGAAGAATGAATGTGTCACACGTTGAACTATGCTGGATTGGGTAACTGGTCAGGCCACCAGACAGCACAAGCGGATATTAGATATTGCGCACAGGTTGTGGACCGGTGGATACTTGAATTGGTATTCACAACGGTATAGGGTAGGATCAAGTACCAGAGAATAATATATAACAAATATAAATAAGTACTTATAAAAGACTCAAGTCGATATTTAATATATTTTCTTACAGGCTTAAAATACGTATTAATTTCTTATATATATACTTGTTTGTATTAATAAATCTATATACTTGTAAGTTACTTTTTCGGCCAACTTAGCACGTAACAGTTGGATTGAAATTATATAGCGGTCCTAAGCGTTAGTAGGTTAGGTACCTTTATATATTATTTTAGCTGTAAAAATACATATAAAATTCTCGGTATTCAATGTATTAATACTAAGTTAATTTATCTAGAATAACCCTATTAATACGCTTGCCAGTTAATATTCAATTATATAGAGACTAGTTCAAACTGCTAGGATAATAGCGTTAATAGCTTTAAATAATATATATCTTTGAAAGACCTTAAAAACGCACTTTTAATTATAAATAACATGTAAGGTGGCATTCATGCCCACCATCCTGGACGCTTGTTAGTTCGTACGACCCGAAACCCCCTGGGAATACTTGTGCGATATTATCACTTCTTCCGGCTTGGACATGATGTTCCTCATCATTGAAGGCCTTGTTGAATGTGATACTATAGCCGAAAAAACACTATCCAATGTATTAGACAGCGGGCCGTCAACCTGAGGATTCTCATAACAAGCTCGTCATATGAGAGTGGGAAAGGACTTATAATTAGACGGTTGGCGCATGACACATTTTGATAGGGACAACGTTGAAAGCAGGGTCAAGGATGACATTGCTCTGTCCATTAATGTTGAAGTCCACTATATTGCGAAGAGTCGAGGATATTCTGAGGCAGCCATACACGGACACAAAATCCTCCAAATCTATGCCAGTAGGAATACGAATGGGCGACAAATTTGAACACTGTCAAGTGGATTTGCTGAAACAGCGGGGACTGAACATCAACGTCGACGACGCCATGGGCAGCACACTCCTGCATTATATGCTGGAATCAATCTCTTGGCACGGCTGACGTCGTCAAAAAACTAGCCAAGCTCGGGGTGAAGCCGACGGTGAGAAATAACTCGACGAGCTGCCCCTTTATTTCGCAGCGGCTAGAGCCACTTTTGAGACGTTTGGCCATCTCTTGTCGTAGTCTGAACAGTCATTCGGCAGGAAAGCTCACAGATCCAAAATCCAACTAGCACGGTACAGCCACCTTTGTTTCTTCCAGTCTCGGGGGCTTCGACCGCATTGCATTGGGCGGACGATGCACTGGGTGATTTGGTGGAAATCATCGAAACAATACCGTCTCAAGGTTTCAAACTGACAGATTCAACCAAAAGCAGCCGTAATCCATTGTATCTGGCTTTGAAACGGACAGCCTTGTCCTCCATTATGGAAAAGGTGGCTACGTGTCTCGGCGGCATCGATATAAGCCTTGTCTCTGGCACTTTTTGTTTGGGAGTACGATATAACGCAAGAGCTACTTACTAAGAAGAGGTGTCTTGCCCGGCTCAGAATTAAAGCCTTGAGATTAACAGACAAAAGCCGTTGGAGAGAGAAGTCTAGCATGCACGCGGAGTTGGTTGTCCCTCAGTCGCTCAGTATTGGGGAGCAGGCCAGAAGTGTAGGCATCGCCTAGGTTCCCTGGATGGAAGGGCTGAAGGGATCCAAGTCTGAAGAATTAACACAAATTATCTTCTCTGTTGCGCGATTTCGGGAGAGTTTGCCGAGCATGAAGGAGGAGGAGAGATGTTCATCAAGCAAGAACGATGGTGCTGATGGAATAGTCCTGGGAAAGCACTTGCCCCCGGAAGAATTTTGTTGACTGTCTGGTCTGGTCAATAGGGAGAATCCTTCTCACCTGCCTTGTGTGGGCGACTTAATGGTGAAAGACGGGAGCTCCGGTCCCCCCTGAGTTGTACGTGCAGATCGGTCCGTGGAGTTCCTTCACCTCACCCGTCCATGGACCAATTGTGAGGTTGCAATCGACGAGTGCGGCACATAGCATCCGGGGGAAATGGCCGCCAGACAGTTAGTGGTCAACTAGCACTGCTTCCATCTTAGTCTTGTATTTGGGTAATCGGCTCCCTAGCCCGATGTGACCCTGGGCGTCCTAGCATTGACGGCGATCATGGTGGAGAAAAATTCTCCGGTACTCAACTTGGATGGTTCCGAGTCCGTGAATCGCGCCTTGCGGATTTCTGGCATGATTCCAAGAGTCTACAGCCTCAGACGCTGCTTCCCGACCAGGTTAGGGTTAGGCGGCGCATCCC